CCTCAATTTACATGAGCCAATTTTCACATATGTACACTGGAGATTATCAGGGCATTCACTCACTTTCCTCTTCTTACTATTTAGGGATATGGCTGATAAACCAAAGGAAGTCCAGAGGCTCCATTTAACAGACTAAGAGGCTTCCAGGTTTATCTGCTGCTTTCACTTCTGTCAGTGGCCCCTGAATGCATGTCAATAGACACTGGGCTGATGGGAGGCCATCCACATGGCATGAAGGTCTGAAGAAAATCTGTGCACTTACCTTAGCAACAACGAAAGACCACCCTCCATACAAACTGCACAGGGACTCAGCGACCATATAGGGTACTCAGAATCAGCCTGAGACACATCTCCCCCTTAAATTTATTGTAAGAAGGTTTCCATCCCTTTATCCTGCTTTCAGTTTTCATTCTCTCATTCCATTGAGGATAGATATATCCCTTCCTTATCCCATTTTGCCTGCTCTATCCTAAGGAATTAGCTGGTATGTGCTTGATTCCACCGTGTCTACCTGAGTTCCACCATTACACTGAACAGAAAAGACACCAGATAAAAACAGAAGCACAAACTTAACCCTTAAAATAGCTCTGCATATTTTTTACTTTTTTTAATTTAATAGAAGATATACCGCTAATGACCATTAACTATACAAAGTAGAAATCAAAATTTAGAATAACAAATGTGTTATATGTATCATGTTGACCATTCACTTTAAAATAAAGGACAGGGTTCTTACACACACACAAAACTATACTTTTTCTTCTGAATTGAACTGCTGAAAAAGTGATCATCATACAGAGATCCACAGTTTAAGAAGAAGTGAAAATGATTAGATAGATATTGTAATAAAGAGGAAATTAAAAACATATCAAATCAGAATCTGTTTCTGGTTCAGAATAACTTTGATATGTCTGAATTTCTTTCTTCTCATAATATCAGAAAATAAATACAACACCATATTTTTTTTCTTTTGGGACAAACAAGAAACTAAGAAAAAGCTGTGGGAAAAAGTTGTTAGCTCCATATTTATTTGAAGGAAACATAAAATGAAGTATTGTGACACAGGCCAGATTGGATTGAATGGGTGAAGGGAGGGTGGCAGAAGGTTAGAATGCAAAGGGCCAAGAGAGAGTGCAGAGCAGATCTTGCAGTCTGCACTGGGCTTCCAGTTCAGGGACAGGAGCTGGGGGAGCCATCAGCGAGGACAGGATCTCCTGGGGTCTGAGCAGGGATGAAGCCAGGTCCTGAGAAAGGGTTACTTCTCTCTGAAGAATTAGAGCCAAGCTGGAGTGATGTCATGAGGAGAGGTAGGGGCAGAGGTCCTGCCTTCGCAGCTGTCCACCTTCACTTCAGCTCAGGAGTCCTGCAGGAGGCAGAGGAGAGTTAGTGTGCAGACCTAACTCAGAAAATGGCTTCTTTCCCACCATAAGTGCTTCTCATTATAGCATGTGGGAAGGAGGAGGGAAGAGTTTCTACCGACCCTCAGCCAATGGTATTTTACAGCGTAGTTGGGTTTTTTCTTTCATTGTTGGTTTGCTTGCTCCACTTGTGAATCTTGAACACAGGGCACTGTCCCTTGGCTTTTTCTGCTCAACTCGGCAATTCTAAGACTTGTGCCACAGCTCCACTTCTGGTATCTTGGTAGTTAATTGGACTTAAGAATCACATGGGCTTTCCTGCTCTGACCAGGTTTGAATCAGGATCCTCAGTTCTCAGCCTCCTGAGTAGCTGGGATTATAGGCATGAGCGACCATCGCTGGCTCTAGCACAGTTTATATTAAACTCAGAGTGGAGATGGGGTGCAGTTCAGTGTACAGCACTTGTGTAACATGCACATGTATAACATGAAACAGGCCCTCAGGAGCAATGTCAGAAGCACAAGAACACAAAGGAAACAAATATTAAAGAGAACAAGATTTAGTTCACACTTCTGCTTCATCAAAACTTTGATTCCAGTTCTATGCCAGTACTTCTGCCTTGTGTCATTTGTTGTAGGATTAGAGAACATTACCTGCTGGTTGAAGTCCAGAGTGCCCTGCAATGGAGACAAAAGGACAGACACTGAACTCTACAGAAGTCATTCCACCTGCAAACACAGCACCCCACACTCACATCTGCCCCCTGAGACTTCTCTAACACCACTGAGGCAGGAGCGATGGGGGACTGGCATAGAAGAGACAGGGAAAATTTCTTCTTTTTAATAAATAGAAAAAGGGCCAGACTCAGAAGTTCAAACTAGGAAGCAACTAAAAAAGCAGTGAAACTTCCATCCACTCAAATGTTAAAGCGAGGAGACCTGAAAGGGGCTGACAAAGCCTTCTCTGGTAAAAATGTTTTGTAAAAAAGGAATGAGGAAATAACTCTGCAAATGCACATACACAAGATGAGAGGCTTGTCTGGAACAGAGCAAGTCCTAAAGCTCACCTGGGATTGTTGCCCTGTTTCAGGTAGGACAGGGGCATCTCTCTATGTTAGAATAACAAGCAACATACATATGACCCACTGAGAACCTCTGTTTGGCTGGAGGCTGCCAGATGACATGACCACACCTATTCTCTCAGCTCCCAATAAGGAAGACAGCAGGGAACTGCTGCCATTTTGAACCTTTAAGTGCCACTTCCTGCATATGAGGAACTGGAAATGGTTTCCTAGCTTTCTGACTCTATTTTATCCTTGTTCTACTAAAATTAATCCTTGATAAACACTTTCAGCTCATGAGTCTCTCTCCTTTTCAGGGGACACCATGGCATGCTTTCAATGAAGCTTAGGGACACCCTCATGCATTCTCTGGTGAGAGTTGCAGAATTTCCTTATCATTTCAGGTCATGTGAGAACAGGAAACTTCCCACAGGTCCCTTGCTATCCTCAGAATTAATCTCAGTGATAACACTTTTTTCTTAAAAAAAAAATCTGCAGACTGTGATTCTCAGCCACTAGAAGGTCTAAGGCCTCAGGGTCAGCTTGCCATTAAGTCCCCACCTGTATCCCTACCTGTTTACAAAAATCTGTTAAGTTTGTAATTCCCCAGTGCTGTACAGCTTTCCCCCATGACATACAAACTCCTACCCCAGTTGCAACAATCTCATTACTCCTCCTTCTTGGAATATGACTCTCCCCCCAATTCCTGTACCTCATCTAACACCTTCCCAACACCTTCTTCTTGGAACTGATTCTACCCCCTGAATTCCCATGGTCCATGTGATGTGACCCATGTGAATGTCCTCTAAGTTTAGTTTAAATTCCACCCAACCTGTGCACTGCTGCTCCCTCCATTCCTGCTTGCAGAGCCCAGCAGGTCTGTCACCCAGGAAATCCTTGAGCCCATACTGGTGGCTCACCTCTCCTTTCTGACA